CCACTATATGTGGTATCACTGAGTAAACTGGTATCCTAGGAATCTTCAGGTTTTTCCAACTCAGGCCAAATTTTGTCCCCAGATGGTCCCCTCTTCAAAAAGGAAACCAATAGGTAGGTAGAGGAAGAATGGGGTGAGGTGCTATTCACTTGGCCCTGTAAAGTAGGTGTTCTTAACCTAGGGTCCATGGACTCTCAAGAGGTCTATGAATAAGTTTCAATGGGTTCATGAACTAGGAACATTACATTTTCATTTCAATGTAATTGGTTTCTTTTGCAATCTTATGTGTTTTTTTATACATTTAAAAACATCAGTCTGAGGAGGGATCAATAAGTTTCACCACACTTCACCAAAAAGTTAAGAACCCACAGGATAAAGTAAGCTCCTCTGGTGTAAGACTCAGAAATTGCTGGACAACTTCAAAGCAACAGAAGTCAATGATGTCAGCCTATGACAAGGAATCCTATATCCTGGAGTTATTCAGAGAGAATGGGAACACAGTGGAAAGAATAAGGCTGTCCCCACTTGCCTCCCAGCACTCTAGTTTAGATTGAGATCCTCATCAGAAGTCCTTAAGCTTAACAGGATGTCACTGATATCCATAAATAGAAGAGAGATAGTCCCTAGAGGAGATGGTACTCTAGAAGTCTGAATATCCACATCAAAAGCAGGGGGTGGGGGGAGAACGATATCCTCCAAAACCAAAATCATTTTATTTCCCCCAAAACCAGCTCTTCCTTCTCACTTCCCTGATAGTGTTAACAGAATCATCATCCTCCCAGGCTTAAAATCTGAGGGTCATCTTTGACTCCTCCCTCTCCCTTGTAGCCTGCACCCAATAAGTCATAAGTACTGTTGATTCTACTTCCTTCATATCTCTTTTATGCATTGCTTCTTTTCAGTTCTTGCAGATATCTCACTACCTCCTTTGGACTATTGCAATACTCTCCCAACTAGCTTCCCCACTTCCAGTCTTGCTCTGCTCAGAGTAATCTTCCTAAAGCAAAAATCAGCTCAATTCAGTACCTTATTTAAACACCCTCTATGGACTTTTTGTAAATCACAAAGACTTCATAAATGAGAACTATTTTGCTGATGATGCTGCTGTTAAGAGACAGCTTATTAAGATAGAGAGCTAGCCTCAAAACCAAGAAGATTTGGATTCAAGTCCCATCTCTGATATGTAACTGACTGTGTGACTCTGGGAAAGTCACTTAATCTCTCAATACTCTAGTTAACTCTAATGCTTTTTATATGTTGCAGAGAAGGTGCCCATCTGCATTGGCAGAGAGGGTTTTCTCACCTGAGAATTCCACATAGCAATATAATTACAAATCCAATTCCTATCCTTATTATTATTAATTATGAGCCTTTTTCCTACCAAATAAAGTCCAAATTCCTTAGTTTGGCATTCAATGCCCTCTCCCATCTATCTCGTACTTACCTGTTTAATCAACTGCTCTCCTATCCTCATCTTTGCTCTAAACAAAACAGTTGCCTCATGGTTTCCTAAACATATCCCATACATTTCACCTTATACTCATGCACTTAACAATATCCAGAATGCTTTTCCCTCCTTTTCTACCTTTGGAATCCTCCTCATCCTATAGCTGAAAGCCTGAAAATTACCTTCTCCATGAAACCTTCCCTGAAGCCTTATACTTCCCACCTCCTCCTAGCCACAAGCAACCTCTTCTCTGTGGAGCTTTCTTTTAAAAATTTTATTTGTATTTAACATTCACTTTTTAAAATTTTTAGTTCCAAATTCTCTCCCTCTCTCCAGCTCTTCTTCCACCCAATGAGAAGGCAAGCAATATGATATCACTTGTACAAGTGAAGTCATGTAAAACATATTTCCGTACATTCTGAGATGTAGTAGCCATGTTGCAAAAAAAAGGCAAGAAACATAAAGAAAGTGGAACAAATATGCTTCAATATACACTTAGAGTTCATTGATTCTCTCTCTCTTTGGAAGTAGATGGCATTTTTCAGCATGGGTCTTTTAGAATTGTCTTGACTCATTATTTTGATCAGAGTAGCTAACTAATCACAACTTGTTCAACTATTCCCCAATTGATGGGCATCCCTTCAATTTCCACTTCTTTGCCACCATGATATACATATAGGTCCTTTTATTTGATTTCTATAGACCTTGTAGTGGTATTGTGGGGTCAAAGGATATGTAAGGTTGATAGCCCTTTGGTTATATCTCCAGAATGGTTGGACCAGTTCACAACTCCACCAACAGTGCATTAATGTACTTATTTTTCCACATCGCTTACAGTATTTATCATTTCCCTTTTATATCATGTTAGCCAATCTGATAGGTATAAGGTGGTGCTGGACCATCTCCAGTCATCTTGATCTATATCTTGCCACTGAATTCAGAAGGCTCAGGAGGAGAGAGTGAGGCTGATGACTTTGCACAGTTGTCCCTCACTTAAATCCAGGTCACTTGCAAGGACATCACCTTCCTGATGTTGTGGTTCTCTTCAAGAACAAAGGACAAACAATGAACAAAAATGTTACCTCAGAGTTGTTTTAATTTGCATTTCTCCAATCAATAGTGATTTGAAGTATTTTTCCATGTGTCTATTGATAGCTCTGATTTCTTCTAAAAACTGGGAAATATCCTTTGACCATTTATCAATTGAGGAATGGCTCTTATTTTTATAAATTTGACCCAGTTCCCTATATATTTAAGAAATGAAGCCTGTATCAGAAAAACTTAAGGTAAAAATTTTCCCCCAAGTTTCCTGCTTTTCTTCTAATTTTTGCATTGGTTTTGTTTGTGCAAAATCTTTTTCACTTCATGTAATCAAAATTATCTGTTTTATTTCTCATGATCCTTTCCACCTCTTGTATGGTTATAAACTCTTCCTTTATCCAAAAATCTGGCAGGTATGTTCTTCCTGGGTCCCTTAATTTATTTATCATATCATCCTTCATGTCTAAATAATTTACCCATTTTGATCTTATTTTGGTACATGGTATGAAATGTTGGTCTATGTCTAGTTTCTGCCAAACTGCTCTTCAATTTTCCCAGCAATTTTTGTTACATAGTGAGTTCTTGCCCCCAAAACTTGGATCTTGGAGTTTATCAAACACTAGATTACCATGATCATTTACTACTGTGTATTGTGTACCTAATTTATTTCACTGATCTATCACTCTATTTCCTAGCCAGTACAAGATTGTTTTGATGATTACCACTTTGTATTATAGTTTGAAATCTGGTACTGCTAGGTCACCTTTCACATTTCTTTTTCATTGATTCCCTTGATACACTTGACCTTTTGTTTTTCTCAATGTCTGTGGAACTTTTATGTCACTTTGTACCTCTTATAGGGCATTTCTCATATCCTGTTTTGTATCATAGCTTGTTACATAGCTATATATGATGAAATTATGGATTCCTGAGTGTTGAAATATATGCATGTCTTAACCTCTACTACACTTTAAGTTCCTGGAGAGGCCAAATTTTATCTATCTTTGTATCTCCCTCATCAGTCCAACACAGTGTCTTTAACATTATATGGGCTTCTTCTAGGTCTGTATCCCAAAGAGACCATAAAAAAGGGGAAAAGGACCCACATGTACTAAAATATTTATAACAGCTCTTTCTGTGATGGCAAAGAATTGGAAATTGAAGGGATTTACATCAATTGGGGAATGACTGAACAAACTGTGTTATATGAATGTAATGAAATATTATTGTGCTATAAGAAATGACGAACAAGATAATGTCAGAAAAACCTGGAAAGACTTGTATGGTCTGATGCTGAGTGAAGTGAGCAGAACCAGGAAAACATTATACACAGTAACAGCCACGTTGTAGGTCGACTAATTTTGATAGGCTTAGCCCTTCTCAGCAATGTAAAGATCTCCAAAAGTCTCAGAATGGAAAATGCTATCCACCTCCAGAGAAAGAACTATGGAGTTTGAATGCAGATCGAAGTATATTATTTGCTCTTTTTTTTCCTTCTGTTTTGTTTTGTTTCCTCTTTTCTGTGGTTCCTCCTATCGGTTCTGATTCTTCCTTACAACATGATTAATGTGAAAATATGTTTAATAGGAATATATATGTGGAGCCTATAGCAGATTGCATGCTGTCTTGGGGAGGGAGGTGGAGAAAAACTTAAAACCCAAAAGCATATGGAAGTGATTGTTGAAAACTAAAAATAAATTAATAAAATATGAAAAAACATTATATATGCTCTATCAATGTTTGCTAAATGAAAGAAAGCATGTATTCATGCCTGAATGAAATACCTAAAAGGAAAGATGCTGGCCCTAGCCTAACCAAGGCCAAAACTTTCCTCCAGCTCTCCAGTCTTCAGCTGAGGAAAGAGCTAGCTTGGGCATTTACAGCACAGAGGGAAAGAGGATATAAAATAAATACTTTTCTGAGCTCAGGCAGTTTGTCACAGAAACTGCCGAAGAACAGAATGTATTCACAATGGGGATGCCAGCCAGTGCAATAGATAGAGCAGTGGGCCTGGAGTCAGGGAGATAATGAGTTCAAATCTGGCCTCAGGCACTTATTAGATATGTGATCCTGGCAAAGTCACAACCTCAGTTTCTTCAACTGTAAATTAGGACTAATAAGAACACCTACCTCCCACAGTTATGGACCAACTGAGATAATATTTGTAAAACTCTTAGCATAACGCCTGGCACATTGTTGTTGTTCAATTGCTTCAGTCATGTTTGATTCTTTGTGACCCCATTTGGAGTTTTCTTGCCAGAAATACCGGAGCAGTTTTCTATTTCCTTCTCCAGATTATTTTATGGATGAGGAACTGAGGCAAGCAAGGTTAAATGACTTACCCAGGGTCACACAGCTAGCAAGTGTCTGAGGTCAGATTGAACGCAGGAAGATGTCTTCCTGACTTCAGGCCTGGCACTCTGTCCACTGGGCCACCTAGCTGCCTGACCTTGCATGTAGTAGGTAGGCACTTAAATGCTTGTTTCCTTCCTTACTTCCATGGTCATTAAAGAGTACAAGAAGTTGGAACTTGTCCTTGAAGGGAGTTCCAGGAGAGAAGGTAGCCTGGACAGTGATACAACCTCAGAAGGCAACATGGTACACAAGCCTATTTGTGAAAGTACTGTGAAACATGACCCTATCAGAGATGATGGTGATGTGTATGACTCTGTCTGTGATGAGGAAGAAATATATGACCCTGTCACTCCAGAAGAAATATTCTGTGTCCAAATCAACCAGGTGAGTCATTATCATCTTTCTCCCACTCCCAGGATCTGTCTCTTAGCTTGTATCACTATTCATACTGGCCCACAATAGAGTAGAATGGGCAACGATCAGAGAGGCTTGGGGTTCCTTTTGGGCTCAATCAATCATTCAATCAACAACTTTTATTAAGCCCCTTCTATCTACCAGGCATTGTCTGGGTACTGAAGATACAAAGATAAAAAACAAAATAATCTTTGCCCTCAAGGAGCTTGCATTCTTTTAGGGGAAATATTATGTACACATTTAAATAAATACAAAATATGTGAAAAGTAAATACAAGGTAGCTTCTTGGTAGGGGGAGCTGGCATTGGCAGCTGGGGAGGTCAGGATAAGCTTCCTGGAAGAAGTGATCCTTGAGCTGAACTTGGAAGGAGGCTAACTAGTGATTCAATTAGGAAGTACCTAACAGTCATGGGGAACAGCCTGTACAAATGTTGAGAGATGAGATTGAGTATCTTCCCTTCTCCAAGAAGTCAGAATGTCATTTAGAAGCCTGTGGACAACCATACCTCTGTGGGCATACATTCACAGTTCTAGTGGGAACAATGAGGAAGCTCCCAGGAACTATCTACAAACCTGGTGGACAGATTCATACCTGGTGCATTGACATAAGGAGACAGTGTTGGGTCTCTGTTTTGGTAGCTGCAACTAAGCTAGATGTTGGTATTTTATAGGGAGAGATCCCAAATCCTCAGAAGTGCAAGAGTCCAGATACAATTTACTGCATCATGAAGAAACCCCAAAAGGTGAGAAATTTTATATCTTCAGGTCTTACTAACTGGAGATTTCAGACTTTTTATTTATTTTTATTTTTAGGCAGTTGGGGTTAAGTGACTTGCCCAGGGTCACACAGCTAGTAAGTGTCAAGTGATTGGTCTGAGGCCAAATTTGAACTCAGGTCCTCCTGACTCCAGGGCTGATTCTCTTCACTGCCCCACCTAGCTGCCCCTGATTTCAGACTTTTCAAGGCTTCCCTACAGTGACCAATGTACCCTAGAAGGACAGTCCTACTTGATATCTGGTATTGCTAAAGATAAAAATTGACAGAATTATCTGTTATTCTCACAAAATTTAGGAAAGGAGGCCAAAGACCAGGGTGTACTGGTAAATGTTTGACAGCAAGGCAGAAAAAACATAAATTTAATCTACATTATTAACACCATCTTGAGTCTAGACAATCAGCAAAACAATAAATCAAGCCCTTATTTGTAGTGATTGATGATTTCTGATCTGTAAGTGCTCATAATCAAAACTGAACAATTAGGCTCTCACAAACTCATTAGAGTTGGCTCTAGCACGCCTCCGCTAAGGATTAAACCTCTGTGTCAAAAAGATCTGTGCCTAAATCTAATTCTAGTCCTAATCCTAACCCATTGGGATACTGATTTATCAAACAGATACAGCACATTAGCCAATAAACACTGTTGATATCCAAATTAATTAGCTGACTAATTTGGACACTGATAATAAATCTTAGCTCTAGCATAACTGTGATATAGGTTTAAGAGAGACTTCAGTGAAGGATTACATATAAGAGGAGTTTCATCTTCTATCAAATTTCAATGTCCAGCGCTGCTTTTATACCACCTTCCCTCCAAAGAACAATCCAAGTAAATAATCCTAAATAGAGATGTGAGGAATACCCCTTTAATTATCTCACTAGCTTCAACCTGACCTCAAACCAGCTATTTGTTCACTTTGCTCCTGTTTTCCTAGGGCCTCCCTGGATCCCCCATTTTCTATTTCCCCAAGATTGCCTCCCCCTCTCCCTGACCTCAGTTATATGTTCAGACAGGAGAAGAAAGCTTCTCCAGGTTTTTAATCTTCTCCTGTTTATTGCATTAACCCCCTTCCCTATGGCTATGTCCCTGAGGTACAAGATAGAAGCAAGGTGAGGATAAGATACTATCCCTGCTCAAGAAGAATTTACAATCTTACTATGGAGAAAAGAGTTGGGCACATGAAATTAGAAGACAATTCATGACAGGCTGTCACAAAGTATTAAAGTGTGATGGAGGGTCCAAGTACTATAGGAAACAGAGCAATATGGATTAATCTAGAATGTTAGCACCGAAGGGACTACAAGGAAAGAGAGAGAATTATGGGTTTGTCAGAGCTGGAAGGCACCTTAGAAATCACCTAATTCAACCTTTTCATTTTGGACTTGAAAGTGACAGAGATTTGCCCAATTATACTACAAGCTAATAGTGGAGCCTGGATTTGAATAAACATCTTTTTTTCTTTCCATACTTTGGTGTTCTTTTCACATTATCAAGCAACCAGAAAATGCTCCACAGAAGAGAAAAGACTTGTCTGAGGCTTTGAAACAGGGAAAGCATTTGGATAAAGGAAGAAACTTAGAAAACCAAGAAGCAAAGTAGGAACCAAAACAGGGCAAACAGAACTGGATCCTGATGTTGACCTGTCAGGGGTCAGGATTCCTTTTCAAGGGAAGAGGAGGAACACTGCTTCCCATCTCCTATCCCCTTCCAGTACCAGCTACATGACTGGCCTCTTCCCTTATGCAGCTCTATGTTGCCAACCCCACTCCCCAGGCTCCCATAGCCATCATGTCCTTCTCCAAAGCAGAGTAATTTCTTCTCCCTGCTGCACCCTCAGTCCCAGTATCAGTTGATGGCATCAGCCAAATCTCCCACCTATGAGCTTCTCTACTCAGCCCTAGCCCTTTCCTGGTCACTATTACCCTCTGACCTTTGTTTCCATTTCACCCTCTAAGAGCCTTTCTTTCTTATGATTTGATGGAAAGCTTGCTGAATTGAGAATGCAAAGACCTGACTTCAGATCCAGGCTCTCAATGCATGAGACCTTGAACAAGTCACTTAACCTCTCTGGACTTGCATCTTAGTGATCTTCTACCCCACACTTGTACAAAGATAATGGAGAGGCAGAACCCATCTTAACTTGGACCTTGAATCCAGAACTCTACTTAAGTTACCAGATGGTGACTATTCACTCACTAACACATGCTGGTACTTAACTAGAAACAACAAACCAGTCTGAGTTGCCCTTAGCTCCCAACTTTCTACTGCCTTTAGAAATCAACCCAGGTTCTATCTCATCTCCTTTAGACTAGGGAGCAAAAAAATGAAGTTATCATAATCTTTTTGATTTGTGCTCCATTCCCAAGAGAAGTCTTTTCTCTTCTGTGAAGCATTCCCATTCCCAGATTGTAATCTCTTTCTTCACTTCACAGAACATAAAAAGATTCATCCATTCATATTATAGATTAGAGCACTTTTACTGAATGGAATTAAAGGTAAATGGTACAACATTAAAACTCCCAAATGATGAGCCATGTCACTCCAGAAAGTTCTGAAGTCTCCACTCCCTTCTCTGCCCCTAATTAACTGCAACCCTTCCCCCAATTAAAATCTAAGTACTTAAGTCACTTATGCCAAGAGAACAACCCAGCCCAAAGGCCATTTGCAGTGGGGAGTAATCAAGTATCACTTCAATATCAGTTATAAAAGTAGAAAAGAAGCAATTTCTTCAAGGCAGATGACAATCTCCACACCAGCTATTACAGAAATAGAATTTACTTCCTGGCTAGCCACCAAACACAACTTGAAATCTGATGATCAGAAGAAGTGATCTTCCTAGTTCCTTTAAAATTCAACCCAGGTTCTACCTCATCTTCTTTAATCTAGAGAGCAAAAATTGAAGATTATCATAACTTACTTGGTTTGTACTCCCTTCCCAGATTCTAATCTTTTTGTTAGAATTAGATCCACTTCATAGGACTTAATGAGATTCATCCATTCATATTACGGATTAGAGCATTTTCGTTGAATGAAATTAAAAATAAATGGTACGACATTAAAATTCCCAAGTGATTGAGCCCAGTTATTCCAGGAAAATTCTGAAATCTCTCCCCACAATCAACTGCACCCACTCCTATTAAATCAAAGTACATAGTTCATTTATGGCAAGAGAACAGCCCAGCCCAAAGGCCATTTGCAGTAAAGAATTATCAAGCATCCCCACAATATCAAAGTTATACAACTAGAAAGTGAACTATTTCTTCATTGGTGATCACCACACCAATTCTTACAGAAATAAAATTTACTTCCTGGCTGGTAACCAAACAAAACCTGGAATCTAGTGGTCATGAGAGGTTCTCTCAGATCTTTCTGACTTCACTCTGTGCTGCCCCTGGATCTAGGCAACCACAAACTCATAGTGCAAGCTGATTTTATATGCCCTTTCTCTTGCGTAGTTTTGCATGCCTCTGTGTGTCCAATTCTCGGTTTCCCTTTTATCGTGTATTTACCATAAATCAGATGACTGTCTTTGTTTTTAAAGTCCCACTATAGCATGGTGCATTACTTTTTGAAACTCCATTTATGTTAAACATCTTTGTGTAATGTATAACTTATATCAGATTGCTTGCCATCTTGGAGAAAGGTGATGGGAGGGAAAGGAGGAAGAAAAATTTGGAACTCAAAACCTTGTTTAAAAAATGAATGTTGAAAACTATCTTTACATGTAGTTGGAAAAAATAAAATACTAAAGGGCAGTTAGATGGTGCAGTCGATAGAGCTCTGGCCTGGGAATCAGGAAGACCTGAATTCAAATACAGCCTCAGACACTTGACACTTACTAGCTGTGTGACCCTGGGCAAGTCACTTAACCCTGATTACCTCACCAAAATAAATAAAATAAAATACTATTAAAAAATAAAAATAAAAAAGTAAAGTCTTTGTGTAAAACCTTCCAAATAGGTGGGATCACTGAAAAGTGACATTGAGTCTCCAGAGGCTTCTCTCTATGAAAATTTCACCTCAATAGGACAGTCACTGCCTACCCCATCTTCTGACTGTGGATAACAAAGAGGAAGCAGGGCCTTATTGGCACATGGATGATTTAAGGATGAATATCCCTGCACATGGGAAGATCCTGGGATTTCCCTGCATTACTCTACACATATTCTGAGTTCCCTCACTTTTGTTCCCAGAGCAAACTGCATCTGGACCAAGATACTGGTCTGAAGGGTAGACAGAGAGACTCAGGTTCTTCTTGATTGATCCCTTACAATTTTCTGTAATGACAGGCTGGGATTGGGAATTTTATCTCCACAGTAGGATGGTCCCCAGGCCTGGAATCTCTTCTTACCTCTACCTTCTGGTTTTCTGTCTTTCTTAAGACAATTCTGATTCTACTTTCTGCAATAGGCCTTTCCCAACACTCCATATCCTGTTCTTCTGAAATAAACTATAAATTACTCTCTCTCTCTCTCTCTCTCTCTCTCTATATATATATATATATATAGATAGATAGATAGATATAGATGTAGATATATAGATAGATGTACATATACACATAGATAGATATAGATATAGATTTATCTATGTGTTTATAAGTATGTTTATAGAGAGAGACATATCTTGTTTGTATATACTTATTTGCGTGTTGTCTCTCCCATTAGAATGTGAGCCCCTGTTTTTTTTCTTTGTATCCCTAAACTAGCATAATGCCTGGCACATAGTAAGCCCTTAATAAAGTTTTTCTTGTTAACTGACTGACTGATATCTATCTTTTCCTGCATCCCAGTCAGAGCTGTCCATTGCACACTCATGCCGTGAACCATTGGATCCCAGGAAATACACATCTAGATCAATCACAGATGTTTATGAGAAGTAAAACTAGTTCAGTAAAACATAATTTGTAGCAAAATAAAGAAAGATTCCATTCCTTTTAGTAGGAGAGGAATAAGAATAATTCAATTTTGATCTACTACCATCAATCAGAGCAGTCTGTTCACCTATGACTATGTCCTTTCCCCTGCCTTCCTTTTCCCATGGCCTGGCAAGAGAAACTGTATCTCAGAAACTGCTGACGCTAATTCCTATTAATCTGACATGCTCTGTTTCCCCAGGTCTACTCTGCATAACCACCTCAGTCCCAGGCCAGAATCTCTATTCCCCATTTGCTTCACAGGGAACCTCTTGGCTAGCAAGATGAAGCAAAACTGTAAAATCCAGTTTACTTAAAGAGATACTCAGCACAGACCATTTTCTTGCAGGGATCCATTAAACAGTTGTTACATGTAACTTTCTTGGCCCTTGGTTTGCTTATCTGTAAAATGAGGAATTTGGACTAAGTAATCTCTAAGCTTCCTTTGAGCTCTAAATTCTATTAACCTATCATGAAAAGTCTAAGTAAACTGAAACTCAAGAAAATTGAAAACAGATTCTAAGCTGATGTGTTAAGCAAAAAAAGATGCTGTTGACCCAGCATCACTATGCCATATGTTTTTGTTTTCCCAGAAGTATTGATAACTTGGCATTGAGCCATCTAAACTCCCTATTGCCTGGTTCCCCTTCTGACTGGGTGACATAGTTTGAAGGTAGAATAGTTTTTCATCTATGTATGAACAAATGCAAGACCTTGACTGCATTAGAAAAATGTTTGAGCAAACCCGGAAAGACTTACGTGAACTGATGCAAAGTGAAGTTAGCAGAACCAGGAGAACACTGTACATAGTAATAGCGATACTGTATGATGATTTACGATGAATGACAGCTATTCTCAACAATACAATGATCTAAGACAATTCCAAAGGACTAATGATGAAAAATGCTATCCACCTCCAGAGAAAGAATTTATTGGAATCTGAATGCAGATCAAAGCATACTTTTTTATAACTTTCTTTATTTTTCTTATTTTTTGTTTGGGTTTTTTTTTTTTTTGGTCTGCATTTTCTTTCACAACATGACTAAATGGAAGTGTTTTGCGTGACTGCATATGTGTAACCTATGTCAAATCACTTACCTTCTCAATGAGAAGGGAGCAGAGGACAGAATTTGGAACTCAAAAATTTTTAAGTCAAATATTAAAAAACTTTAAATGTAATTAAGACAAATAAAATGTTTTTTTAAAAAAGAAAAAGAAAAATGCTTTAGCATGAAACTGACCCATCAATCTTATTCATTGCTTTGAAGTACACACTACACACACACACATATACACATAGGCTATTTCCGCAATTTTAAAGACATTTTTGCAAATAGAGAAGAGGACTCATTAATTGAATACGTTTCCCCCTTCCTACTGCATATTGTAGATTTGGAGTCAGAGGAGACTTGGGTTCAAATCCCACTGGATTTGGGGACAAATGAGTTTCAAATTCAATAGCTGCTACTTACTATCTACAAGAACTTGGACAATTTCTCTAATCTCATTGGACTTCGTATATCATTTGCAAAACAAAGGAAGTTACACCAGATAAACTTTAAATTCCTTTTCCAATCTAAATCAGTGACTTTTGATCTATGAACTTAGCAGCTGTGTGACTTTAGATAAGTAAATTAACCTCTCTGGATCCCAGTTTCCTCATCTTTAAGATGGAAATAATAATACTTGTACAATCTACCTTAGATGGTTATTGTAAGGCTCAAATGAGATAATGCAAAATGCTTTATAAACTGAAAAATCTATATAAATAACAGCTATCATAATTTTTATAAGAACAACCTGTATGGGTGTAGTAGAGTTAATTATATTGGGAGCAGGGGAAATAGCAAATTGGTCTCTCCTCCAAACTCCAGTCCAGTGTCTCCAACTATCTATTGGACATTTCAAATTAGTTATCTCATAGGTGTCACAAGCTCAACATATCCTAGAGAGAACATTATCTTTTCCTCAAACCTTCAACTTCCCTATTACTATTTTTTGGAGGCAATCGGGGTTAAGTGACTTGTCCAGGGTCACCCAGCTAATAAATGTCTGAGACTGAATTTGAACTCAGGTCCTCTTGACTCCAGGGCTAGTGCTCTCTCCACTGTGCCACCTAGCTGCCCCTTCCCTATCGCTATTGAAGGCACCACCACCAAATATAAGTCTAACCATGCCACCTCCATATCTAATCAACTTCAATGGCTTCCTATTACCTCCAGGATCAAATATAAAATCCTCTTTGGGGAATTTTTAAGGGTCTTCACATGCTGGTTTCTTCCTTCCTTTCCAGTCTTGTCATACTATACTTCCTTTCATGCATTCAGTGGTCCAGCAATACCGGCCTACTTGCTAACACTTCATCGCCTGCCTCCACGTCCCTGCAGTGACAATCCTGCAGGCCTAGAATATTCACCCTCCTCAATCTTGCCTCTTGACATCCCTTGCTTCTTTCAATGCTCAGCTCAAATGCCACCTTCTGCAGTCAGCCTTCCCTATACTAGCCCACCTCCAACCATTTCAGTGTTTCCCTCTAAGGTGTGGTGTTCTTTCTGTTCCATGGTTCTGAACCTGGGGTCTGTGAATTTGGCTTTAAAAAAAGTATTGCTAACTGTACTTCAACACAATTGGTTTCCTTTGTCTGTACTTCAACACAATTGGTTTCCTTTGTAATCTGTTTTATTTTATGCATTTAAAAACATGAAAAAGGATTCATAGGCTTCACCAGCCTGCTAAAGGGTTCCATGACATAAAAAATGTTAAGAACTCCATTTTCTTCTGTATCTATTTTGTTTAACTTTATAAAAGAATCAGAGTAAAAAATATCAATGAGGAAATTTATGTCCTATTTTTCCACACATTAATATATAAACTCCTTGAGGGCAGAAATTGCTTTTGTGTTTGTACTCAGCATTTAGCAATGTCTGATATGTAGTAAGTGCTTAATAAATGCTAGTAGACTTACCAGAATCTCAGAAAATGAACATCTTTATATTCAGTGATTTGCCATGTGACTTTCAGTAAAATTATCTCTCTATGCCTTAGTATTTCTACCTGTGAGGCAGAGAACAGTGCCTACCATCCCTTTCTCCCATGATGAATGTTAGCAATAACCCTCCAGAACAATCATAAAGTCTGTGTAACATAAGCCTTGAATAAACTCCAAATGGTCTCTCCAGAGCTATGCACATTGGTGGGGGCAACTAATTCAAAGTCTTTGGTGAATTATCCAGTGCTGGCAATTCTTTTAGCCCCCAAAGTGGACACAGGTGCTTAAATCATATTTTTATTCCAGGCACTGCTGATCATGGCTAGGAAGAAATATAGAATCAGAAGATCCGACTCTGATAGTTGCTTGCTGTGTGACCATGAGCAAGTAAGTCATTTAGCCCCTTTGAGGCTTGGCTTGCTCATCTGTAAATATTCACAGAAACAAAGTTCCATCTTTTTAAAAGCAATACTCTTACTAATAATGTTGTTGTATGGCTCTAAGTCATAGAATGCTATAGCCCTTGAAGAATTAATAAATGACTATTGACCAGAGGGCAGTGGAGAAGTGTATGGTGTGTTTGATCAGGTTGCAACATAGAATAAGGTACTGTACAAAAGAATTAGAACAAAAGACATCAGTGAGGAAGTTTGTGATTGAAAATGAACTTGGGTTAGGCATATGGCAAGAGTGAGGGGATAATAGGGTTATAGTCTGAGTGCTCTATCTGTATCCTTATGAGGTGAGAAGAAATCTAGGAAGGCTTCCAGCATGTGAGATGGATCCTCTGGTATTGGCTTATGGGCTGACATGGAAAAGTACCATACAAGATAGGCAGGCAAAAAGGAATAGTGGTCCACATCACTGGAGAGAATGTCTACAGCGATGAGATCTCAAACTGTTGGAATGTTAGAGCAATCCTTGCACTTTCATCATGTGGTTGTTGTGAAGAGAGAGCTTTGAAAACTCTGCAAGAGCTACAAAACTCTGAGCTGTTCTTATTACCAAATCTCCTAGCCCTCAAAATACTTCAATAGTATGTTCATTTTGGACAGCAGCTCCCATTAATAGGAATAGATGTGGAACATCTCCAGCTCCTTACAAGACAGTCGTTTGGGTCTCTGGACCTGAGGAAGAAGCAGTGGCATTCATTCAGTTCCTACCATCAGACCTACATTCTGGTCATGTCCAAGCTACCATATTCCTGCACTTCTGATTGGTGATACAGAACCTTCCATATAGGTCCTGACACCTGAACCTCCACACCAAGTCCTCCAGAATCCAGGCTTCAGTCCCTGGGAAAGTTAATCCATTCATCTTTGGACCTCTCCCCCTCCCTCTTCCCCACATACACTTTCCACCTCCCCAGAATACTCTCTCCTCCCAGTCACCACTCCCCTTCTGTGTTGTTTTCCCATATCAGAATATAAGGTCTTTGAGGGCAGGACTGATGCTCTCTCATCTCTGTCTCCCTTCTTTAAATACATATGTGTGTGTATATACATACATATGAATGTATATACACACATATTATACACACATATGTATGTATATACACACATGCACATATGTGTATATATGTATCTATATGTGTATATATTCTGTATACATCAGAATATAGACAAATATATAGATAGGAATAGAAACATTTTATAGACAGAAATCTAGAAGTATGTGTACATAAACAGATATATATATAGACAAAAGCATATGCATATTTATTTACATATAATATATACATACATTTGCAAACCCTCTGTTGAGCACAGTGCCTGGCATATAGTAAGTGCTACATATTGGTGGTGGTGGTGGTGGTAGTAGCACAGTGGATGGAATGCTGAGCCTGGAGTCAGGAGGATCTGAGTTCAAATCCTACTTAAGACGCTTACTAGCTATGTGACCCTGAACAAGTCACTTAACCTTGTTTGTCTCAATTTCTTCATTTGTAAAATGAGTTGGAGGAAATGGCAAACCACTCTAGTATCTTTGCTAAGAAAACCCAAATTGGGGTAATAAAGAGTTAAAGGCCAATATGAAGCTTTGAGTGCCTTATTCCCAGGAGGCTGCTGTTCGCTGATTCTATACTTTTGCGGGAGAAGGGCTTCTTCATGGTCACCCCTTGGTAGGAACTAAGATCTCCATCCTTGGGCAAATTTCCCAATGCAAACAACAATTCATCTGGGTCAGATTAGAGGCATAGCCCAGTACAGAACTCCAAATGTCACTTCTGCCTGAGGGAAGGGAAAGAAGAAATAGGGCAGGAGATCTTGTTCACTCATAGAAGAATGAATGGGAGAAAAAAAAATCTATTTGCCAGGCACTGCTCCAAGGGCACATTTTTTTAATTGTAGCCCTGGTAGTAATGATGATAATACCATAGATTATCCTGTGTGAGCCAGGCAGTCTCACCCAGCCTGCCTTGCAACCTATGGCATGATTTTATAAGAAAATTGCCTTATGGTTAGGATTTGCAGTCTCTATCCATCAACACGGTTTATCAGCTCCCTAATGAGAATCAAATCAGTGACCCTGGCCCTGTTAGCATCATCTTCTAACCCACTGAGGAAACCATCTGCTTTTTTACACAAATCCTTATATGACCTTTTGAGTGTCAACCAAAAAGGTAAAACTAGCTCATTAGGCACATTTGAACAGGGTCTGGCCCATTTGTGGCCCAATAAATTCTGCCCTTTGGGGATAAAATCATTAGGCTGTTGTGGATTCAGGTCTCCTAGATCCCAACCAGGTCACTGATTGACTCAAAGGAAGCACTTATTTGCAGTATGCTTCAATTTTGTCCCTTGAAATAGGCTCTATGGACAGCTCCCTAGGCTGCATAGACAGTTAACCAGTGATACGTGACATCCATGCCTTTTCTCAAGCTGAAGCATACCAAAGAGAGGAGGTTTGATGGATGTGGGGAGCCAATATATTCAGAATGCAATTTTGTAGCTTACCTCTTGGTAGATGGTAGCTGAGTGGGATGAGTGGGTAGCTGAGTTGGGGCTCATTTGCTTGGAAAAAGGTTGCTGAAAATCCAGAGGGAGAGAGGAGTCAGCCCAAAGTTGAGAGATGTAGTTGCCACTGCTACTATAGGGTAGCACTAAGTTATGATGAACTTGGACCCACCCAGAGGGAACAGGTAGATATTTCAAGAAGCATGAAGGGTCCCATAGTCAACAGTTAGCTCCCCCAGCATCTATTCCTTAGGGTATAAACAATGTTGCTTTATGATCTCCAGAAAGAGCATGGAATACCATATAGCATCTTGTCTCTAGAAATAGATCTGACTCCAGACAATGATGAATGTATACATGAGGAAGGACGTGGGCATCCCTCTTTCATTGACTTAACCCCAGAGTTTGGGGCTCCCTATATGTGACTGGCTGCAGTCTTGAGTTCATAGCCTGAACTTACCTCCCATCCCTTATTTCCCTCTGACTGCAACACACACTTAGACTAGTCCTTTTAAATATATCAGAACAATTGAACCACAGATGAGGAGAGAGGAGAGGACAACTGTGTGGAAACAGACAATTAGCAGCACAGAGACCACCCAGCTTTGTCCAGCTTGAGGCAAATCATATTGAGATTTCTCCTTCTGGACCAAACCTATCCATGTCTAAGATCTTTCTGCTTTATTCTCTGAGGATATGAATTTGGGTCACTTCTACTGATCTCCTTGTCATCACCTTTGCCTGCTATGTCTTTTATCCCGAGATTCTACTCCCCATCTAGGCAGGCTGAATTACACTAAGTACCCCCTAGCTACCAACAAAAGAGGTCTTCTCTACTGTCCTGGTTGTTTCCCTCTCTTTCTCTGTATTTTCTCTCCCACTTGGTAGTATTCTCCTTTGATTTTCCCTGTCTCCCCTAGAGGAACTAAAAAGACTCCATCTTCTGTTTACCCATCAATTCTAAGCTATAGGTATTTAATACCAGAGTTCCAGCTATTTAACAGGTACACTCAGGACAGCATGGGTCAGAGGCCACATCCATAGCCCCAAGCCAGGGGACGACAACTTTCCACACCACATGTACACTCCATCCTTAAACACACAAACTCTTACACACTCACATAAAGACAAGCATACATATATCTTCTGAATACCCACATATGGATATAGACATGCGTGCTCATAGAAATATACATATTTAAATACTCATCCTGGAGGAGGAGACTTACACGCTTGGAGGATTGTACTGATGAATACACTGTTTTATCTTGACTAGCAGGACTGGAAGCAGGAAGCTAGTGGTAGGAAAAGATAAAGCCATTACAAATGAAATGGTGCTGACAATGATGTGGAAAGGTGATCTTTACCATACTCTGACTCAAGCAGATAAGAACCTTTTGCCTTCCCTTGAATTATTAAGCACCTGCCCTGTGCAAGATTTTGGTAAGATTGTTACAGTGAGAGAGAGAAAAGTGGAGTCCAGGATGACAGAGAAAAACTTCACCAACTGCATAAGCACTAGATTGAGAGTTAGATCTTCTAATCCTAGCCCTATCACTTAGCCAAATAACTTCCTCTCTCTGAACTTTGGCTTCCTCATCACCGAATATCTCTGAAAACTAAGAGTTGGAAAATTCTATTCAATTGCTATTGGAGAGAGATGACTTCCTCATTCTCACACCTTCCCAGACTACCCTGTTGTGAAATTCCTAAATCAACAATCACATTTTTCTAGTGGTTTGAGAGTTGTGAGCCATTTTCTCACAACAACCCTGCGAGATCAGTAGCAGAAACATCCTTAACTAAAAGATGAGGAAACAGGCACAGAAAGTTTAAGTAACACACCTAATTTAAGTCACACAACTAGCATTAGATATGAGACTTGAATCCAAGCCTTTTGATTCTAAACTCTTGCTACTACATCTCAGTGCCTTTAAAAAAAAATAGTATAGCAACATAGCTGGGGTCAAGTAACTTGAGACCCATTAGACTTTCCAAGATTCTGTTCTTCCATTTGAGGTCTAGTCATTCCCCAGGTATCATGTACAAGGATGTTATGAGGCTCAAATGAGATAATAGATGTAAAGCATTTTGCAAACCTTAAAGTGATATGCAAATGCCAGTTATTGTTATTGTTTGTTATTGTTATTATTATTAGTAGTAGTAGTAGACTATAGTCACCAGGTATCATCTAGTGATGACTTCATTCCATGAGCCTTCTATTACACTCTTGGTATTATTACACTGATTATTATTCCTGATATCTATTACACTGCTATATTTATAGAACGATATGGGCATGTGCTGCTAAGTCAATCAGAGCTGTCTCCAGCACACCCCTGACTCATATAGACTCCTGTGGAACTTTCCTGAATCATCTGAGAAGTTGGAAATGTACCTGTTCTGGAAATTGGACCACAGAATATAAGGTGTGTCCTTCCATTTCACAGTAATTCTGCACCTATACAAGAGAAGGAAATAAGTAGAGTATCACAATCCTTGCATTTCAAGCTCAGTGTTATACTCAGTTCCTGACTCGCATAGCCAAACAGTTACCAAATATTGTCATTTCTACCTCTATAATATCTCTCCTCTACATCCTGTTCTCTCTACTCACAAATGTTGCTAGCCTAGTTTTGAGTTTTTATCTCCTCTTTCTTGGACTATTACACTAATCCTTACAATGGCCTCCTAATTGATCTCCCTTTTAAACCTTTCCCCTATTCCAATTCACCTTCTGCACAGCTACCAAAATGATTTTTCCAAAGCTTGAGTCAGGCAGTGGCTCCTCTTTATCTCTAGCATTAAATACAAACTACTCTGATGGGCATTTAAACCCCTTCACAACCTAATGCCAGCCTACTTTCCCTTCCTTAATACACATTACTCCTCTTCATTCACTCTTTGGTCTGCTCAAAGTAACCTTTATATTGTTACTCATGCATGACACTCCATCTTCTATCTCCATGCTTTGATACCGACTGTCCTCCACGCCTGGAACATACTGATTGTTTTCTCACTGCTCTTTCCTGGAATATCTAGTTTCTTTCAAGACTCATTTCAATCACCTCCATTTACATGAAGCCTTTCCTGATCCTCCCTTCCATCAGCTATTAGTGCCTCCTTACTACTCCCCAAAAATGTTCTATTTTATATATACTTGTATATGGCTCCCCATCTGTGAAATGAGGGGGCTGTACTAGATAGTGTTTAAAGGTCACAGATGACTCTAACTATATCATATGACCATGGTGGTTTTTACTTGGGAGTTGAGAGCAGATGCTTGCTGACTTCCTGTGTAATCATAGCTCCAACTGGTGGCAGCAAAGATACAATGCAAAGAAAGGAAAAGGGAAGGCACAAAATCAAAAGAAAACAACTAATTAGCACTTTCAAATTCCAAATATCAGAGTCAGGGATATGACAGTTTGAGAAATAAGGAAGGAAGAGGAAGGCTCCCATTTTTCAGATAGTCCAAGGTCTAGTTAAGGGGAATCTCCCTCAGTTCTGATAAGCCATTCTCTGGTCCTATTTGAAATGGCCTTGTTCTCTCCTAGGTTCCCCAAAAGAGCCTTACCTAGAAGCACAGGAAAGAACAGACATTCAGTGCCATGGAGTGATTCCTGTTTGGGGCAATTCATACATCTAGTTCAGTGATATGGGCTCAAGTAGTGAAAAAAAATAGAAACTGGAGTTTTCTCCTTCCAGCAGACCTTTTGCCCTCAGAGCAAAATGACTGCATAAGAAAATATCTCTTGTGCAAGGGATATAGTGATTGTATCTTGGAAAACATGCCACCCAAGTACCCATACATGATGGAAATTGCTTGACTGAGTGGTTTTGCAGGAAACTCACATATTGATTTAGAGCTAGACAAGATTTTGTGTTTATTTCACCTCACACCCCACTTCTAACACACACACACACACACATACAAGCATACACACATAAGATGCTTTTTCTTTCTTATTAGCTCTGATTTCAATCATTAGTTGTCAAATAACTATCAGTACCTGGCTAAACCCAGGACACTAATCCTTTCCTGGCATTTTCAGAAACTGTAGTTTTTGGGTAACCTACTGAGTTGCATGATAGCCTGTACCTGCTTACCAAGGTTGACCATCTGGGGTATGAGACACTGACCCAACAAAAACTGAGCTTCTTGGGCCCCAATGTAGCAAATGGGAAGTAGCCAAGACTTTTCTCTGAATTATGCCCTTATTAGTGAAACTAGAAAGATAAGATAACTCTAGAGCCACTGCTATCCCCAAATGGCTAATAGTGTGCAGAAGAGGATAGCCACTGAATTAAAAACCCACTTTTGACCCTGTACATTGCGAAGGTGGGGTAGGTTTGATACAATCCCCAATGTGGAAGAGATTAGGGAACCTCCTTCCAGAAAGGTATTATGGTGGGTATAAAAGTGCCCTAATCCCCAATTTGGAACATGCACAGACATTCTGTAACTGGTTATGGTTTGCTACCTAACCATCTGATGAGGATACAAACTGTTGATTGGTTGGGTAGCTAAATGTGTTCTGGTATGAAATAACCAGGGTCTTGTTCTTGGGCTTCAGCTTTTTCATGTCTAACTGCTATTCCGGTAAAAAAGACAATGATGTAAGAGGAGAGGCCTCAAGCCCTTCCCACCAGAGATTGACATGTGACCCATGAATATAGAGCTTTTCTCCTTTAAATTTTTCATTCTTTCTTGTTTTAAGTGAAGGATATTAGAATTGGCTATGATCTTGTGTATTTTGAAAGATCATATGAGTAAGCCACAAAAGTCTGGGAACTGAAGTCTATGTAAGGACTTGCCATTTGCCAAAAGCCAGATGTCAAAGAGCAAAGTCCCAGACAACCTGCTTGGCCCAGTTCAGAAGTAGCAGAGAGGCAGACTCATCTACCCATCAGCCATGCCACATTTAGAAATGAACTTGGAAAAAATTAATGTAAAAAATATATATTACAAAAAGAAATTCACTTGATAGGTGTGGTGAATGCTATGTAGAAGTAGTATTAAATCTGAGTCCAGGTTGTGGTTTGTCCATCATTCTCAAATAGGCATGACATCAGGGAGATGATGACATGACTTGTAATTGACTCTGGTTGAGTAAGAGAGGTCTGTGCAGTCACCAGCCTCACTTTCTCCTCCAGAGCCATCTGGGTCCACTGGCCAGATATTTATCAAGATGACTTGAGATGGCCCAGGATACAACGGGAGACCTTGGCCCTTTCAAGCTAAGGTCTTTTCAAGTTTTCACTTTGAGTGAGGCAACACCCATTCAGTGAGGGCCTCTTTAAGAAATGAGTCAAGGATAGCCCTTTTAATTAAAAAAAATCAAACTGGGAGGAGACCTTCAGAGTTACTGGCCAAAAGGGAAACAGTTACTATTTACATTCACTCTGAGCCAAGAGGGCCCAAAAATCACCATTAAGTAATACTTGGGCAGGGACCTATTGCTGGCCAATCCATGAGATCCAGAGTGAATTGGGTTTAAGGCTTGGAGTTTGAGAAAGAAATCTAGCCATTCTCTGAGTCCATTTTCTTTAGGGACAGTGATGGCTACGGAAGATTGATCCCAGGTGGTGAGAGGGAATGTTGGTACTTCTTTTCTTGCTACACCTTCAAAGTAAATATCCCTTTGTAAAAGCTAATTGATGGCATTGAATAGAACTGGGGCACCAATCACTGATGCTTATAGGGAGAACACACTGGATAGGGGACTGAGCTGATAGCATTAGAGAAAGATACTTTTGACCCTTCAGAGGTTTCCCCAGAACTGAATGGAATGATGTAGCTGGCCTCACTCTGAAGAATGAGTTCAGCTCATCACTGCACTTACTACTTTTGTGTAACTGGACAACTGATGACCTCCCTAGATACCAATTTCCTCATCTATAAAATGAGGAGGTTGGACTAAATTACTTCTGAGGTTCTATACAATTCTAAATCCTGTGTTCCAAGGTTTCTGTCTTTGCCTTTTATCATCTTTCCCTTGTTCTGCTATTTTTCCTCCTTCCTCTCCCCATAACCAAAACCCAAATTGTCAGGTGGGTGCCTATAGAGGATATGGTCAAGATTGGAAAGACAATGCTAACTCCTTTATTCCTGCCACTCCAAACCCTGCTACAAATTGTCCCAAAGAACAATTCTGGACACTCATTCCAGCAATACCTGGACTGACATACCTGATTTCTCCGGGGCTTATCATGGCTAATTTTCTCATAAGACACCGCGTTCATATCTGTGGGAAAATAGAAGCAAAGAATAGAGATGCCTGAGCTGGAGTGGGGTACTCTAGAAGTCATCCTTCCCTCCCCAACCTACCACTTCATTGCAGGACTACATTTCACTATTCCAAATGAATAAGTTCTCAGAAAGATCTCCAGGGAAGGGAATCTTATAGCTTCAACAGGCAACCTCTCCAATGTGGCAAGCAATCAAGTATGGAACCATCTCTACCAAGGATTACATTCAAATTCTCAAGACATCAAGAATACCATTGACCTCATTTTATATGACCTTTAACAGCAAAATAGTATTTTCTAACAACAATCCTGTGAAGTGGTTAGATTCTGGGAAGCAGGTGGACACCAAGACACTGGAAGGAGTTTCTGAGAGTAGGAATAGGTGTCCAGAAATTGCTGATGTCTTATATGATATCATATCACTAAGACTTAGAGCTAAAGTAGGAGATATATCCATAGGTTTGTGGGACATCAGGAAGGAATGAAATATAGTATACACATCTTACCACCACCCCAAACATTTCCCTCCAAGGATTCTTGGGCATGGATTGTAAGAGGCTATCAATATCTAGTCTCTACTAGAACTATCTCCTCAGACAACAGCCACTGATCTTTCCACTTGCCTGTTGCTTGCTTCCTCCTCTTCTTCCTCTTTCTTGTCACATACAGGTAGACAAGGGTGCTGAGAAGTAGAATGACCAGGGGAATCACAGAGAAACCCCAAACCAGCTGCAACCATGATTCTGAGAAAGGCAGAAAGAACAGGTGCAGAGCTCTTATTCCTCCCACTCATCTCCCAACTTTTCTCTCTCCTCCTAGAAAAACACACTGCATCATTTCATAGAAGTGGGAACTGAAGGGTGGATCTTCAACAGTGGAAGCCTATAACCTGCACCTCCACTCTAGTCTGTCAGGTCTCTCTTCTGTACCATACTCATTCCTACCTCTGTTCCTTTGCTTATGGTAGACCCTTCACCTGGAATGCCCTCTACTTCTGCCTCTGCCTATCCAATTCCTAGGGTAGGTAGTGGATGGAGTAACAAGTTCAAATCCAACCTCAGACACCTACTAGCTGTGTGACTCTGGGCAAGTTACTTACCCCTGTTTGCCTAAGTTTCCTTATCTGTAAAATGAGATGGAGAAGGAAATGGCCAACCACTCTAGTACATTTGCCAAGAAAACTCCAAATGGGGTCAGGAAGAGTAGGACATGACTAAATGACAATAACATTCAACTCTTATCCATCTCAAATCCCACCATTTTCATGAAGTTTTTCTAACTTCTCCAGCCTTTGGTGATCTCTCTCTCTCTCTCTTTCTCTCTCACAATGAACACTACTTCTGTGTGGCTTAGTAATACTTAGTTACATATCATTGTGTATTATTCACTATTGTTTCGGTGTTTATCTTTACTCCCAAATAGAATGTAAACTCTTTAATGGAACAACCACATCTTATTTTTTCCATGGTCCCTAGAGTTCCTAATAAAGCACCATAATCACAGCAGATACTTAATAACTAGTTCATTTCAGCAATTTACCTACAACCTTCCTTTCCATTCAACTTCTTCCATCATCTTCAATGATACCAATATTTATGTAGATAACCTTTGTAATACCCTGACCTATCAACTCAACTATCCCTTCTATTCCTACTGCCTCACTCTTCCTGAACCTGCTCTTCACTTTTATCACCCCAGCTCCCTTGAGCCTTCCCTCTATGTTCTACCAGGTCATCATCCCTGTTCTGGCAACACTTTCCATATTCCAATATTGACCACTTCATTAGTCATTTCAACAATTTGTCACTGTCCTCTATCCTTTAATTTTTTTCTTTCTTGCTCTCCTTGTAGCCACCCTGATAATCTCCAACTCAGAGAAAACTTTTCAACAGTTCTGACTCCTGAGCTAGTCACAGTACGGAATTCATGTGATCTTATCTCAGTTGAGTCCTCATCCCTGCATGACAATGCTTCTGTTTATCATTTTTTTTCTCTTTATAACTACCCCACAGCAACTGTTTCAAACCTCCACCATTCCCTAGTCTCCAACTCCACTGATACACTCTTCTCTCTCAAGAGATGTTCTTTCTTCCATTTTGCTAGGAAGATTGAGGCCGTTCTTCGTGAGCTCTCTCATTTTCCTTTCTCTTCAAAATGTCAAAACTTCTCCATGTACTCCTCTAGTCTCTTCTCTCTCCCTTGGTTGAAGAGGAGATGGTCCTCTTCCTTGAAAAGGGTAACTTATACCCTTGATTTCATGACCTCCTGTGTCTTTTGGATCCAGCTTCATTGATCATTTCTTCTGCTTCTCTTTTTATCTTCAACTTCTCTCTCACTCCTCAATATTTCCTCTTTGCCTACAAAGAAGCTCATGTTTGTCCTTTAAAAATCTTCCCTTTTGCCAAACTAAGTAGATATATATTGTAGGATTTGTTTTGAGTGTCTTTTTTTAATTGCTAAATGTAGATATGGGGGCTGGATAGTTGAAGGGACAGATTCATTTAAAAAAACTGGTTATTTGAATTTTTAAAAAAATTATAAATAAAATAAATATTTAAATAAATAAATTTATAAACAAATAAATTATAAATTATAAATCTTTACATTAACATTGCTATTCCTCAAGCTATAATTTTATTGTGACCCTCACCTTCACTTTCAAACTGCTACAAAGAACAGTCTGTTTCTCTACTTTCTCCCTCAATAAACCAACAAGAATTAACTCCTCACTTTCCTGCAGTCTGGCTTCCATTCCCATCACTCCACTGAAATTACTCTTTCCAAGGTCACCAATGCCTCCTAGAAGGCAAATTCAAAGCTCATTTTGTCATTTGACACTGCTAAAAATCTTCTTTCTAAAAATTCTCTCTGACTTTGCCTTCCATGACATCTTTTCTTCTTAGTTCTGTTTGTCTGAAGTTCCTTCTCAGTCTTCACCCTTTTATCTTTTACCTCTTTGAGATCTCCAAAACTCTGTTCTTGGTCTTCTTCTCTTTTTCTATGTTCCTGCACTTGTATGATTTAAATGATCATAATCATGAAGATAACCATGCATTTTAAGCCTCAATCTCTACCCTGAGCAATATCCCACATTTCCAAGTACCTGTTTGAAAACTCTGTCTGACCATACTGCTGACCACTTAAATTCAACACATACAAAGCTAAATTCATCACCTACCCTCCATGAATCTTTCCCTTTTACTTAATATCTCTTCATTGATGGGTAGTGCCAGTCACAATATCAGAAGTTCAGAACTATCTCTGTTTTCTTCTCACTAAACAGCCAAAAACAACTTTTTAACAGCTTTATATATCTGACAAAATAATCATAGTATTAAATAGGTCTAATCATATCACTTCCCTGATTGAAAACCATTAGGGACTTTCCATCACCTGTAAAAAATCCATGTTGAATTATTTCTCCTCCAAACTCAAGGAATTCTTATTGCTTATACCCCTCAGCTTTCCACTAAATCAGATTCTGCCATGTAATAATTTGAAATGTTTCCCTTGTGGTGGTGTTATTGTTCATCCCTCATTCTCAAAGAGGAACAATGGCATCACAAGGGTGAATTGCATGTGAATTGGATATGTGTGAAGGAGATTATAAGTTCTGTGAGGGCAGGAACTATGTCTTACACTTTCTTGCATCTCTCATAGCACCTAGCAAAATACTAGACACATGGAAGTTTTCCCAACAAATCCATATTGGGTGAATCCAAAGGCCCAAATGAATGTTTTATACCATATGTCAGAAATTTGCAATTCATGGTAGAGCAATATGATTGCTTCCCTGAATTGCACAATTTGGCAAAACTGGGCTAGAATTTAGACATAAGCTAGTTTCCTTCAAGAATTCCATTTGGAAAGATTCAACAGTCTAGGTGAGATAAGGCATTTCTTTTTCCCTTCCTGAAGATACCACAGACATGATTCATAATTTTAGATGTCATTTCCTTTCAAGGCCATCGGCTCATCATGCCAATTTCCCTCCAGGGATTATAAAGTGAGTTACATGTATGTTCCTTTCTTGGAGGAGAGGTAGCCTTGTAAACTCTCTCTAGCCCAAACCTCCTTATGACCAAGGGGACATAATTGCCAGATGGGTCTCTAACTTTGGAGGAGTAGTCTGGCGCCATGGAAGAAAGAATAACAGACTTAGAGCTGGAAGAGACATTAAAAGCCATAGATTTAATTTTTACAGATGAGGAAATTGGTATGTATAGGGGTTGAGTGACTCACTAAACGTACACAGTTTCCAAGTGTCTGAGGCAAGACTTGAACCAAAGTCTTTCTAACTCTGAGATTACTATGCTATCCTCTACACCATGATGCTTCTCAAAACTCCTCTTTTTATAGATAGGAAAATTGAGATATAGAAAGAAAGTTTCCAAGAGGGTGATATAGAAAACAAAAATAGAGAAAGACAATGACTAGAGGGAGGGAAAAGGGAGCAAACTCATAACCTTGGCTTCTTTAGTGTAATAAATTAAGTGCCTGAGCTAACTATCTCACAGGAGGGGGTGAGGGAACATTAGAAGGATTTTGTCACCATCAAAGAAAAAAAAAGATAGGGGACTTTAGTAAAGAAACATCTTTTCTCCTGTTGTTATGAGAAAGTATTGTCCTTACCTTGGGTTGAATTGTAAACTGGGCTAGCACATACCCAAGTAAGATTGATGGTATGGCTCCCTGAGCTAACTGGGTTACTGGCATTGCAAGTATAGGAATTCTCAGTGTTCTTGGCTTGGATATGGAGCTGTACATGGGCATGTTTCCCTGGGGGTTTAATTTGCTCTCTCCCTCTGTACCAGGTGTATGTCAAATTATCATTCCCATGGACGAAGCAGGACAGGTTCACATGGCACAAGGTGTTATTGTTATTCCATGACTCTCCAGTCACCTGGATCTTTGGGTCCTGGACAGGATCTAGAAGCAAAAATAATGTTAAGATTGGCCCAGGTGAAGTAGGTGCTACAAGGCTGATACAGAGACTAGAAAATGTATTCATAGGTACTCACCAAACACAGAAACCTGGAACCAGTTGGTATTAAAAACACGTCCTGACTGACTGGTGATTTCCATGAAGTAGAAGCCACTGTCATTCTTCTGAGCTGGGTTAATTAATAAGGTCAAGTTCTCAGTTTTGACATCAACTCTGTTTTTAAATTGCTCAGCTTCAAACGTCACCTTTGAGTCCTCTGTCCAACTCAATATCCTAAATTTTTCCTGAGTTGAAGACAGTTTCACAAACCAAATGAAATGTATACTCTTTGAATACTGCTGAATCCACACTGGTTGTAACTTGATATGACTTCCCATGATGACAGTTATGCTCATTATCTTCATATCAGAACCTAATGTTCCTAGAAGAGAAAAGTCCAGGAAGTGAGAGTAGAGCTCATTGACTTTGAGCTCAAAATCTGGTTGATTTTACCCCAAAGGAAATTACACTGGACAGATAAACCCCCAAAATGAAGGTCAATATGTATGTTCACAAGGCAGGTTCAGTGCAGCATTAGGGTAGACTTCCTTCCCTTGCTTTCTCTTTTGTCCTCCCCCAAACAAATCTTATATAATAAATATCAGCTATGTGCAGAGCCTTGAAGAATGGCTCTGCCCCAGGAGCTTATGATCTAGAAGAAAAGAACACAGATCCAAAGGACAAACATTAGACAATTTCCCATTTTTCTGGTGTTATCAATATAGGCGGCATTTCTAAACCTATGTCAAATGATGAGCCAGTCTGCCTAACTTCATTCTTACTGGAACTGCATGAAGCTCTTCTTTATCTAGGACTAGAGCTCATGTTCATACAAGCTAAGGAAAAGTCATCCCTTTTTCAAACTTTTTAGTGTCGTTGATATGTGGTTATGAGGAAAAAAGTATCTCAGGATTTTTCCCTATTCTGATACAAGGTGAATGACTCTTCTCTCAAGACTCTTGCCCAGTTATCATATCATTGATTATGTCCTGCCAAGCCTCAGTCTTGGATCACTCCCCAATATCCATTGCTTTTGCTCCTAGACATATATAGCTGAAGAAAGATAGAGAAAATAAAGCAACCATTCTGACTGGTCTCATGATCATGCCACATTCTCTGCAGGAGCTGAAGGCTTTCAGCCCATCTCTTCATTTGAAAGTCTGCCTCCTCATTGTTCACCTGTCTGTCAGGGGCACCCAGTTTTCCAAAACTATTTAAACATTTGATGATCTCCTGGTGGGGTCTTTGGTTATCGAGAGAGAGACCAATAATCATCAATTTAATGATTATTAGCTACTCTAATTAATAAATTTATTATTAATTACTCAGAAACTTTGTTTTTCAGGATTTTAATTCATCACACTACCTTCTAGTCTTTTTACATCTGACTCCCCTCCACACACTCTTCGATTCAGCTACACTGGCTTCCTTGCTATTCCTTACACACAACACTCCATCTCTTAACTCTCTACCTTTCCATGGGCTGTCCCTCAGTTCTGGAATACTCTTCCTTCTCACTTCCCTCTCTTGGCTTCCCTGGCTTTCTTTAAGACTCAGATCAAGTGCCAAGTTCTGCAGAAGGTCTTTCCCAGTAGTGAATGCCTTCCCTCTGAAATTACCCTCCATTAACAATTTATATGCATTTTTATTTATATTGATATTTTCATGTCATCATATTTTAATTTCTCTGTATCCCCAGACCTTAGCACAGTGGCTAAATATCTCCTCTCTACTCAAATGACAACAATCCTACTTCAGGACCAAATCATGTTTCACTTGAATTATCAAAATAGCCACATAAACAGTCTCTGTGCCTCATGGTTCCCACCCAACCCCGACTCTAACCCTACTTCCACATAGTTATTTAATGTGGTTTTGCAAAAGCACATTTCAGAATATGTCAATCTCCTGTCCAATTAATTTCAGTGTCTTAATATTACCTCAAGGATCAAATAAAAATTTGTCACTTAAGGCACTATGCAACTTGGCACCAACCTAACTTTCTAGCCTTACTATACATTCCATCCACTTAAACACTATTCCATCCAGGAAAACTGCCTTCCTTCCAGTTTCTCACACTACTTCATCTCCCACTGCCTTGCCAGACCCCATATATCTGAAATGTACTTCATTTTTACTTCTACTTCAAAATTCCTAGTTTCCACTAAGGAAACTCAGCTTCAATGCCACCTTCTATAAGAAACCTTTTCTAATTCCCTCAGATTCTAGTATCTTCTCCCAAAAAATCACTTCTCATTTATTTTGCACATGTAGTAATAATTCCAACAGATCCTTCCACAGAAGCCAGATAGTCAAAAAGCATTTATTACTGTTATTGGTGGAGGTCAGTTGTTTCAGTCATGTCCGTCTCTACATGACCTCATTTGGGCTTTTCTTGGCAAAGCTCCTGCAGTGATTTGCCATTTCCTTCTCCAGCTCATTTTGCAGATGAGGAAACTGAGACCACCAAGCTGCCCACAAGCATTTATTGAGTGATTACTGTGTGCTAAGCACTGTGCAAAGATTGGAAACACAAAGAAAGGCAAAAACTTCAAGGAGTTTGCATTCTAATGGAAGAGACAACATGCAAATAAATAGGTATGTGCAAGACACACAGTATATGGAAGGCAATATTAGGGGTAAGAACTCTGTCATCTGGAGGGACCAGTAAAGGCCTCATGTGGAAGGTGGCATTTGAACTGAGTCTTGAAGGAAGTCACAGTTTCGAGGAGACAGAGGAGGGAGAGCATTGAAGACAACGGACACAGAGTCAGGAAATGGAGTCTTATATGTGAGGAATGGCAAATAGGTCAATGTAGCTGAATGTAGAATGTAGAAGGGAGCCAAGTACAAGAAGACTAAAAAGCTATGAAGGGGATAGACTGTCAGCTTTAAATGCCAAACAAGAGGTATTTCTGTATCATCCTGGAAGGAAGAGGGATCCACAGGACATTATTTAGTAAGGAGGTGGGCATAAAATGATCAGATTGCACTTAGAAAACTCACTTTGACAGTTTAGTTGATGGTGGTTTGGACTGGGGGAAAATTACAGACAGAGAAAACAATGAGGATGTTATTGTAACAATCTAGGTGAGAGGTAATGAGCACCTGATGAACTAGGGTGGTAGCTGTGTGAGTGATGAGAATGGGATATAGATGAGAGATGGAAAGATGGAAACAAGAAAACTCAACAAGATACACAAGTGTGTACATATATACATACATACATATAAAGAGACAGAAAGAGAAAGACAGAGAGACAATTCATAATGTTCCATTACATTCCTGTACCAGCCAATTAGTCCTTAGCTGCTAAAGCCTATGGCCTTTTCTGGGTCCTCGTACTCCTTAACCTCTTTGTTACTTTTGTCACTGTCCCATTCTTTCTTCTTTGGTTTCTGTGACAAGGCTCTCTCCCAGTTCTCCACAGCCGACCATTCCTTCTCAGTTTCCCTTGCTGAGTTTCATACACAATCATTCACAGCCTGTCCCCTTGACACAAGTGTAGGCCTGGCTCTGTCCTGGGCACTCTCCCCTTCATTAAATGTACTCATCCCTTTGATCTCATCATTTCTCATGTGTTCTAATTGTCATCTCCCTGCAGGTGATCCCCAAATCTATATATCTACTCCTAAACTCTCTCATCAACTTCCATCCCACACCCAACTGTGTTTGGGCATCTCCATGTAAATATCCCACTGACATCTCAAAATTAACATGGCCAAAACAAACCTTATTATCTTTCCTCCCAAAAAACTTGCCTGTCCTCCAATCTTCCTCATTTCTATTGAAGGTATCACCATTCTTTCAGTGATACAGGTTCACAATCTGGGTGTCGTCTCTGACCTCTCATTCTCACTCAGCATATATTTCCCATCATTTGCCAAATCTCATACTGTCTATATCCACAACATACCTCAAATTCCTTCCCTATCTCTCTATTCACACAGTCATTATTCTGCATGAGGCCCCATTTTCACATGGACTACTGCAATAGCTTCCTAATTGGTCAGCCTGGCTCAAGTTTGCATCCACTTCAATAGAGCCTGCAAAGAGTTTCCAAAGTAATACAAGGCACAGGTATGACCATGTTACCCTTCTGATCAAAAATCTTCAATGCCCCCTTATTGATTCTAGTATGATAATAATAATAATAATAATAGCTAACATTTATATATGCATTGGTGGCACAGCGGATAGAGCACTGGGCTTAGAGTCAGGGAGACTCGTCTTCAAGAGTTCAAATTCTGCCTCAGACACTTACTAGTTCTGTGACCCTGGGCAAGTCACTTAATCCTGTGTGCCTCAGTTTCTCAACTGTAAAATGAGCTGGAGAAGGAAATGGCAAACCACTCCAGCATCTTTGCCAAGAAAGTTCCAAAATGGGGTCATGAAGAGTTAGACATAACTAAGATGACTCAAGAACAACAAACTATGTGCCAGGCTCTGGGCTAAGAGCATTACAATTATTATCTCACTTGAACTTCACAACAACCCTGACAGGTAGGTGTTATTATTATCCTCATTTTAGAGTTGAGGAAACTGAGGAAGAAAAAAGTTTAATGACTTGCCCAGGGTCATACAGCTAGTAAATATCTGAGGCCAGACTCTGGTCCTCTTGACTCCAGACTCAGTGATGTATCCAATGCACATAGTCAGAAACGTTCCTCTGTATTTCACAGACAGGAAAGGTGAAGTCCAGGAAACAGAATCCTGTTTAGAGATTCTGTTTAGGGCCCTTAAGTCAGTTGGTGGCTATGCCAGTGAGGCCCCCACTCCCAGCCCCATTCCACCCTGGTGTCCAGTCTACTTGGTTAGATTCTGCTTGGGGCAGGGATACCTCAGAAGCTACTGCAATCTGATTACTCTAGTGATGGGACAGCTTTCCATGTGTGGTGGCCCTCTATTCCCCCACAGGGCCTCTCTGGTCCTAATCATACCTAATCCACCCTTGTGGTAACCCCTTACCTTGGTTCTGAAGCATGACAAGGAAGATGAGGAGAGTGAAAGCTTTCCAAAGCATCTCTACAGAGTAGAGCTCACAGCCAGGGTTCCTCAATACCCCAGCTAAGACTTCCTTCCCTCAACAGCTCCCCCTCAATGTGGCTTACACTGTTGATTGTAGACAACAGGACATAGGGGTATGCTGGGTGGGGGAAAGTACAGGCTGTCGCTGAAATACAGAACCCTCTTATAATTAGTCCAGCCACAGTTTCCTCTGTGCTGTGGCTGATCTTTTGTGAGTTAATAAATTGTCAGGACTTAGTTGAGAAAACCTCAGCCTCTGAGCTCTGGCCACATATGCTTACAGGCTAGAGCAAAGGCACAGAGTTTACTAGTGAGGTCAACTCCTGTGCTCTGAGAGCTCCTCCCTCTTCCAGCAGTGACGGTTTTGCCAAGAAGCATTTATTAGGTGTTTACCATTGGCTCAGGACTCTGTTATGAACTAGGGATAAAAAAAAGGGCAAAAACAGATCCTGCCTTCAAGGAGCTTACATTCTAAGGGAGGAAATAGCAAATAAAACAAAAATAGATGCATATGAGGTAATCTTAGAGGAAGGAGATCTGGTACCTGGAGGGATAGGGTGGAGGGATACCTGCAAGGCCTCCCACAGAAAGTGGTCTTTGGCCCTAGTCTGGAAGGAAACCGGAGATTCTAAGAGTCAGAAGTGAGGAAAGAGAGAGTAGCTCAGGCTTGGAGGATAGCTAGAGTTCCTGGAACTGCAGTGGGCCAGGACAGTTGTCTCACAGAGCAGATGGAGAGCAGGAAAGCTTGAGACAGAAAAGAGAGGAAGGGACCCGCTTTTTAGGGGCTTTAAATGTCACATGAAGGACTTAAAAGAAAAACAGCTAACATTTATAACACTTTAAGGTTTGCAAACACTTCACATATGTAGGGGGCAGGGAGCAGACTGCTCTATGAGGCCCATCCTTGGACCATTCTGCCAGGTTCTCACCACGTTTGGTGACCCTGCTTCCAGAAGAGTATGGTGGAGGGACAGATACCCCCTTTCACAAAATATACAAGCATTTTCAGACACTTTTCTGTTGTCTTATGTCGATGGAAAAGTAACGGTGATGGCTACCATGCAAATGTTCATGTAAGAGGCATGAACAGGTAAAATCTATCTCTGTGTTTTTGTCTCTCTGTCTTTGCCTCTCTCTGTCTCTGACTGAGTATGCCTCTCTGTCTCTCTGTCTCTTTCTCTCTCTCTACTTTCACATAAGAATAAAGAAATACTGTGGACCTCCAGGTATGGAAAGAAGTAGTGCATAGGCTTCCATATGGCCATGAATTCATGGCTGCTGCTGTTTTTTCTGTGTGAGTTGTGCATGTTCTTCCTTAATCTTAGATGAATGAGTATTGGAGATGGAAGAAGATCAACTATAACTTTGTGAGCTTTGGGTGACCGGAAGTATCACCAGAGGTCATCATTTGGTCACAGAGCAAGGGAGAGAGAGATTGGTCTGTGCTAGCAGACAGTTTTCTCAATATTTTTATCTTGGCAGGGAGATGATAGATCACATGTGAAGAATGAGATATGCATTTTCAGATACAAATAATGTATGAGATTATTTTGCTTGACTATATTTTTTTGTGACAACGGAGGGCTTTCATATTAAAAGAGTTGGAGAGGAAGATAGAAGGGTAGTGATAATAATATGGCGGGGGGAGAAACAAAAGAAACTCACACAAAAGAGAGCAGAAGGAAGTTCAGAAGGGGACACAGACAAAACAGGGAAATGCCAGAACTACATTGTTAAATTGAGTAAATACGCGAATCTTATGATAATGAAGTCAAGACTAGGGAAGGAGGCAAAAGGAACCAGAGTTTAGCAGATAGAGAGCATGAAAGAATAGGGAACTTTGGAGGGAATGCCTTTGCTAGTCATAGTAAGGTCTAAGATGTGGACATGGTAGCAAGTAGCTACAGCTGAGTGTAGAAGAAAGTTGTGAGAGCTTAAGGAATCATAAAACTAACACATTAGAAAGTTCTAGGACATAAATCCTAAAACTTCTAGAGGATATTAATCATGAGTGAGGTTGTTCAGTCATTTCAATCATGTCTGACTGTTTGTGACCCCACAGGGGGTTTTCTTTTTTTTTGTTTTGTTTTATTTTTAGGCAATTAGGGTTAAGTGACTTGCCCAGGGTCACAGAGCTAGTAAGTGTCAAGTGTTTGGTCTGAGGCTGGACTTGAATTCAGGTCCTCCTGACCAGGGCTGGTGCTCTATCCACTGCACCACCTAGCTGCCCCCATCATATGAGGTTTTCTTGGCAAAGTAACTGAAGTGGTTTGCCATTTCCTTCTCCAGCTCATTTTACAGTTGAGAAGCTGAGGCAAATGGGGTTCAGTGACTTGCCCAGGGTAACACAGCTAGTAAGTGTCTGAGGCTGGATTTGAACTCAGGTCTTCCTGATTCTGGACCCAGCCCTGTATTCACTGTACCACCTAGCTCCTGAGTCATAAGTGTAGAGAAAGAATTAAAGCCAAGTTCAATTTAGAGCCATTGAAGAAGGTAAGAGGATGATCTGAAGATCGACAATGAGTTCAGGGTGTCATAATGAAGTTACATGAATTTGAAGGAAGAAATGATATGGAGGGATAGCAGGAGAGGAAAAATACAATTAAATTCAATAAATACTGTTTAAACATCTACTGTGTGCAAGGTATTGGGCTAAACTCTGGGGATGCAAAGACAGAAATGAAAACCAGTCCCTCACTTCAAAGAATGAACTGTGAACAGATACATTAATGTAAAGAACTCAGATATTTAAAGCCAGAAGGGACCTCAGAGGCTACCATTTCCAAATCAGGCTTGCAATCTCGCCACCATCCTCATCTCTCCCAACCACAACCTTGGACTCTGCCTCTAAACCCACTCTGAGCTCTGATAGGTAAGCTTTCATCTCACCTTGCCTGGCACCAGACCTCCACATCCCTTCCCAGCAAAATGATAGCCTCCTATCCCCACTGCTTTCCAGCTCTTCTTTATGTATTATACCTCCCCCTCCCCTGCCTTCATTACCATTGAGGGCAGGGACTGTTTTGCAGTTATATTTGCATCCTCAGCCCTTATCACAGTGTCTGGCATGCAGTAAGTGCTTAATAGATACTTTAGATACAGCCATAGTCATAGGATCATAGTATTATAGGTCTAAAGTTAGAGGGGACCTCTGAGGATATCTAATCAAATTCTGTCACTGGACAGATAAGGAAAAGAAGGCCCAGAGAGGTTAAGAGCCTTATCAAAGGTCACACAGGAACCAAGAGTCATGATTTAATGAGATTTATTATTCTCTCCAAATTCAATGCCCAGAGGAATCATCTCATGTTGGTTCTTGGAGAGAAGGGAGGTTACCCATTCCTGAATCTGCAAATACCTAGTTTCAGAATGGCACAATGGTCATTTATAGAACAGGAGCACAGCAGCCTCTGTTATCGCCCGACTGTTACTATTAGCATTATGAGTTCCATAGCCATTCCAGTCGAAGGCAGAGAAATCCCCGCATTGCCTGGGAGCTCCTTCTGGGAAGAATCCTCCTCCACCAATGCAGTGCTGCAAAGGAGAAAGATAGCAATGAAAGAACCATGGGATTACTGTATTTAGTAAGAGAATTTGTCAAAGGAAGGAAATGAATGTAATCCCTTGATCTCATCGATATGTATGGAACTTTTAAAATGATCATCACATTCCTCAGAATGCTAGCTGTCCCTATTCCTGTAGTGCCCACCCCTCTCTTCTTTGATTATATATAATTATTACCCTCAAGACCCAGTTCAAATGCTGCCACTAATGGGAAGCCTTTCCCAACAACTCAGACCTTGGTGATCCTTTCAGCTAGTATGAGTTATACATCCACTTAATCCTTTTAATACTCTCCCAGACACAGGAGAAGGCCCCTGGATTCTGAAATTATAAAACCATTGTTTGAATACTGGCTCTATTCCTTATTGTCTATGTGACCTCAGTTAAAACAATTTCCCCCCTCTGGGCCTCAACTTCCTTCTCTGTAGAATGATTTGCATTAGATGTCCTATTTGGTGGTTAAGTTCAGAATAAAAATGAAATGACATGAAAATTATTTTTTAAATGAATACATTGTCCTAATGAATACACTGACGTCAAAGGTCACCATATATTCTAAATCTGTGAACTAAAAATTATCATATACTCCCTTCCATTGTTACTATTTCCTCAAGTAGATTACAAGCACTTTGTAGATAATAATAATAATATTTTATCTTTCTATGGCTTAGTACCTTACACATAGGCAGCAACAGAAGAGTGGACAAAAGGCTGGCCTTGGGGTTAGGGGTTCAGGTCTTGCCTTTGGCACAGATTAAATGTGTTACCCTGGTCAGATAATTTGTTCTTTCAGTATCCCCAGGCAATGCTCTCAGATTTTAAACTACAGACTGAAACAGGGCAGGTTGTTTTTATACCAGGAATTCCCATACAGATGAAATCGTGAATTTGGACAACAAATTGAAACTACTTTACACAAAACTGATGTTAAGTGGATAATAGCAGTTAATAATTTTGAGGTGAAGTGTTTAGAAAAAATTTCCCATAAAGCTTTATTTCCATCATCTGCCAAGTTTTAAAGAAAACTTGGGCATAGAAGTATTCAGTCTTCAAGTCTGGTGCATTTGAAAGGAAAATGGTTCCTAAAAGCACTAGTCTCTTCAGTAGTTCTCATCCTGTCCCTGGCCACCTCAAGATCACACATACATATATTCTGTTTCTGGGCTTCCTCCAAACCCAGAGCCATGGGTAGTTTGCAGATGCCCAGAAAGCTACATTGCCAAGTCAGAAGTTACGGGTCTCAACTATGATTCAGTATGACCAAAGTTTGTGCCTGAGTGTGAGAGTCTTTCTGAAATATGGAAGAGGGCTTGGCATCTCTTTCCTCCTTCCCAACTGAGGCACAGATGACAATAGGGTGTCTCAACTGCATGGTTGAAGACTACATCTTGAGATTTTGACATCCTCTTATCATTCTGAGAAATGGAAAATCATTGTGTGAAGAGAAGCTAAAAGGCATGGCACTGGACGGATGAATAGATCTGCCAGGATAGAGGGCTTACGTTCTTACAATGAAAAGGTTAGGGGGAAGCCATGAGGAAACATTAAATATTGGAGTTGAAAGGGAGCTTAAAGGTCCCTGAATTCTAGTTCCCACTTAATGCTGAAAACACATTCACAATCCCCCTGATAAGTGGTAGACCTGCTGATATACCTTGAGTGATGAGTGCTTCCTACTAAAT